GCCTCCGCCTCCCGCGCCGGCGCGGGGCCCGCGCGAGCTAGCGAGGGAGTGTCCGCGGCGAGGCAGCAGTGTCGCCTTCCTCCCGCGCTCCCCCCGCAGCCTGCGGGGCTCAGAACGACGCAGCGAGGAGCGGGTTCTCTCCCGGCGCCTCGGTCTGGACCAAGAGCGCGCGCTCGGACGACAGAGCCCACAGCCGCTTTCGCCCTCCCCCCTCGACCAGTGAGCCAATCAGCGCCGGGAGTTTTACCGCGCAGCCGCAGCACGGCCCGAACGGGCCGGGCTGGCTGCGGCTCAAGTGCCTCGTAGCCCGGAAGCGTGTCTGCGCCCGGCTTTCCGTACTTTAGCCTGGAGCCCTGCGCAGGCGTTATGCGCGCACCTCGCAGCCTCTCGCCTCCCGTAGTCTTGCTCACTTCCGGTCTTAGCGGCGTCAAGTCACTATAATCTGTGCAAGCAGCATCTTTGTGAAAGTAACAAGAGAAGCCGGAGGGAAACTGTATCTAACATGAAAACTCACTAATACTTGTTTATGTGACTTGTTGGCAAAAGGGCCCTTCAGAACCCAAAAATACAGTAATATCTTCTCTTTTTCTCAACGCTTCAACTTCTACCCAGCAACAGACGCCCGGACCCCGCCTTTCATCCCTGTCATTGGCCAGCTTGAGTTGCCATCTTCCGCTCCGATTGGTCAACCTTGATCGGCCGGATTTTTCTAATTGGCGAGGCAGTCCTCTGGGAAGCTAATCGTTCCTGCGGGAGTGCCTCGCAGCGCCGCCTCTGATTGGTCACGGTGGCGCAGTGCGCGGGACCCTTTAGTTACACTGCCGGAGGGGACCGATCGGCCCATGCTGCGCCCAGAAGACGCAGTCCCGAGGGGACTTCCGGGCTCGGGCTCTGCTCAGGCAGGAAGGGGCGGGCGCTGGCGAGCTCGGAACAGGGTTCCTGTGACTGTGCTCCGTCTGGTCTCACAAAAAATAAAACAGCTGGGGTGTAGCTCCGTGCGAAGGCCCTGGTTCCGTGCTCGGTGCCGGCGGGGGAAAGAAAGGACCTAGAAGAGTCGGGACGCGGAGCCCCGCGCTCCCCTGCGTCGCCCGGAGCCGCCTCGCGGTTCCCATGGAGGCGCGGTTGCAGGAGGCGCAGCTGCTGAAGGAGCAGGGCAACCAGCGCTACCGCGAGGGCCGCTTCCGCGCCGCCGCCGGCAGGTACCACCGCGCGCTGCTGCAGCTGCGGGGTCTGGAGCCCTGCCCGGCGCCCGCGCCCGTGCCC